TCCAGTCTGTCAGGCCAGTAAATCTGGTCTTTTTTTTGTGAGTTAGAGTTCTGTTCTACATCCTTTTCCAGCTCTGTCCAGGACCCTCTATTGTGATCCCAGTCAGAGCAGTCAGTGGTGGTAGCCGGGCACCATCTAGTTGTACAAGACTCAGTCTGGTGGAGGCCTTGGTAGCTGTGGTCCTTTAGCCCTTTGGACTAACCTTTTCCTTGTATCTTGTTCTCTTCATTCTCCCTTGCTCCTGAAGGGGTGAGACCAATGGAGTGTCTTAGAGGGCTGCTCACAGGCTTTTAAGACCTCAGACGCTACTCACCAAGGTAGAATGTAGAACACTGTCTTTATAAACTTATATGCCAACTGAGCTAGATGTTCCCTGAGTCCATGGTCCCCACAGCCCTCTGCCCAGCAATTCAGTCCCTTGGAGAGTTTGGAAGTGTCTAGGGAGCTTCCATGACCTTTCATTGTACAAGATGTGCTGGCTTCCCCAGTAATGTGTACTGTCTTACCCTTCACCTAAGTTACCACTTATCTATTTAGTTCCCCCTCACCCCTCCCGTGCCTCGTAACCAACAAAGATTGTTTCTTTTTGTGTGTAAACTTTTCAATGAGTTATACAGTAGAGGTCTCATACAATATTTGTCCTTTTGTGATTGACTTATTTCACTTATCATAATGTCCTCCATGTTATGAGATGCTTCACAGATTCATCATTGTTCTTTATCTTTGTATAATACTCCATTGTGTGAATGTACCATAGTTTGTTTATCCATTCTTCTGTTGATGGGCATCTAGGTTGTTTCCATCTTTTTGCTATTGTGAACAGTGCTTCAGTGAATATGGGTGTGCATATGTCTATTCATGTGATGGCTCTTGTTTCTCTAGGATATATTCCTAGGAGTGGGATTGCATTTTGTAGTGCTTTTTTTTTTGTGGTGCTGACGTTTTTGGTGTTCCTCTTACTCTTCTGTGCTGAGTTCCTTTTGTTTGTGGATTTTTTTCATCTCTTTTGTTTTTGTAGGTTTTGTTTTTACTGAGACTTTATGTTTTTCTTCTTTATTTTGATGAGTAGGTTTGTAACTTTCTTTGTGGTTACCTTGAAATTTACCCTTATCTTCCTGGATTTGAACCAGTCTATTATTACTTGGCGTCACTTGACTTCCTCTCCATTAGAAGGTTCTATACCTACACCGTTTATTCCCTCTTTTATTGTTCTGATGCTGTTGTCATTTACAGATTAACCACTCTGGTTCCCTTTTGTAATTCTTTTGGTTTTGCATAGTCCTTAAGAGTTCATTTCCTAAGTTGGTATCTGGCTAGTAAAATCCTATGTCCTATATTCAGCCTGTGGTCTGATATTGTTTGTTCTCAGATCGAAGGACTTCTTTTAATAAGTCTTGTAAGTTTTGTTTGGTTTTTACATAGTCCTTAATTTCTGTTTATCTGGAAATGACCTAATTTCACCATCATGTTTGAATGAGAGTTTTGCAGGATATATTATTCTTGGCTGGCAATTTTTTTCTTTCAAGGTTTTATATATGTCATCCCATTGCCTTCTTGCCTGCATGG